CAATGAAAGCAACACATAGAAAGAAGAACCACCTACATCAGTTGGTCCTCTTTTAATGCATGCAAATTTTGGTGACTAACTTCCTGTGACAATTTTACAAATACATACAAAACACACACACATGCATGCATGCACACACACACACACAAAGGAGAATATTGGAAATAATAGATACAATGCCAGGAGCTTCTTTGGACCTAGATATCCATAATATCAGAGAAAAAGCTCCAGAAAACAGTCCTATTTACTGCATGCGGTAAAATGAACAGCCATCCAATATTCACAGCAATGCTGGAGAACAAAGGATCTTTGATGCTGAGTTTGTTTTGAACTGTGTCACAGTACCATGAACATTCATGTTCTCAGGCCAGACACATGCTTAGGGTATGTTGTCACACAAGTTCTCTACACAAACAACACAGAGACACGTATAATTAGGATCCTAAGGCTAGTCTGCTAGATATCACTGTTTATCCCACCACAGGTTCATATCCTTCTGAGATCTTTTTCTTCTTCAAGTATACATACAAAGAGAACTTCTGCCTCAATATCATATGCTATTTGTTATACTTCATTTATTAAAAAATCTCTGTTAAGGTTTGACTCTTCCTAAACTCTTCTTCAATCAGGATGCAAAAATATTTTCCAAATTTTTTAATTCTGTTGAAAGTTCTTCCCTGAAAATATGTGACAAAAACATTCTAAATAAAATGTTTCCATATTTTAGTCAGCACATATTTTAGATTACTAAAAATGAGGCTTGCTAAATAATTACAAGGAATGGGTCAAAATACTGTTCATACACAGATGCGTATTTACATAAATGAGAGACTTGTTATATATTGATAGATATTAATGGCTATCTTAAAAATAATTGATTGTAATCAGAAATTTCTAAGTGACTTCAGAAGAAGAATATTTTTTCATATTTGTCTTTCTCAAAATCTTTCTAGAGAAAGAACATAATGCAACAGAATAATGCAGGGGTAAGCAAATCATTCTTGTCTGGTCAGGGGTTTTTAACACATTAATTGCCTGATGTCTAGCAGTAGGTAATGATCCATATATTTTGTTCAAATTTGGTTTGGGGGAATTGTATGCTAAGGCAATTTTACATTGAAAAATCCATCTGAAAAGCTTTTAACTTAAAAACTAAGACGTTAATGAAAAATGAAACAATTTTCTTTTCTTTCTTTTCTCCTCCTTTTTGTGATAAAACTGAATTTCCAATTTCTACCACAAGACTCAGATTGTAAAGACTTTTGTTTACCTACAAAGGAAGAAAAAAAATCTAGAGCAAATAACCAATTTTATTGTAATTGTTGTTCACTAAAAGCACATCGACTTTAATTGAAATGTGATCTCTTCAGTTCAGATTATGTGAGATCTTGAAGGCAGGGATGATCTCAATTCTCTTGGCTTTGATAGCATCCAGACTGATTTTCTGACTAAGGACATCTTACTGTTGCTTATTTAGCATTCATGTTTTGCTTATTATTTCAACTTTTCCCCCTTAAATAGCATTTCAGGAATGCCCTACGTTCTTTAGGTACATCATATACCTAAAGAGGTCTTTAGAAAGCATTTTGTTATCAGTCACTTCCAAATCTGTCTTCGAGAAAAACAGAAAATAATAAATTCCAAAATTACTTTGCTACAGACTTCATTTCTTAGTAGAAATAATCACACAAAAGATAGCATCCATATGATATCATTGACCTTGTTTTGTGACTTTTAGTACATACTCATGAACGTGAAATACTGATGTTTGGGAAAAACTGACTATCATATAAAATCTCTGAGGAAAACTCTTCTCTGCAGTGTTCACTCGTCATATAGACACATTTCTACTCTAGAGGATAGGAGGGATTGTTGGGTAGATTCTCGCCAACCCTTTCTTTCTGGTTGCCAAACACACTCTTCCGGACTCTGGAGTGTTTTATAGGTTATTTAAAGAAAGGTTCTTGTAATTAAATGAAAAGCCATAAGAAAACCATCCAAATGGAATGTGTCAATGTTTTCCTTCCCCAGATCTTTCTTAAAATTAAAACTCTTGTTGGTTTATTTGACTTTTGAATTTCTGCAGAATTTCATTATGGAAATTATGTTTGCTGGAGAGAAAAGTTTTGGACTCACGAGCAGTATAGCTTGGCTGAGATTAGAGGATGAGTTTCTTGGGTAGAAGAAGAAGAAAAAAAAAAGAGGTGTTTTTCTTTCCAATCCTTGACTTAAAACCTAGTACAATGTCTAAGTTGAAGGTTTTATAGAATTATCAGCTATTTTCTAGTATACTGAAGAGATAACAGATGTTAACCCAGGACATTTGGGGGATTTTTCATGGTCGTAGTGTTGTTTCACATAGAACCCTTCTTGTTTTATTATTTTGGTGGTGGGATGGAGGGGGGGGAGTGATGAATTGAATCACATAAGCTTGTTTCCCCTTAATTTTTTTTCCAATATGGTGCTAGTTTGGAGTCAATACTTGAAGAATTCAAGTAATTTAATTTAAACGCTCTAAGATGCCTCCCCCCCCCCCTTTCTTTATAGTTAAAGACTATAGTTCAAAACTGCTGACATGACCTGGGAAGCTTCACGAGAAGCGTGACTTAGTTCAATCCTTTCCCGGCGGGTTTCGTGCCGTCAGCAGCAGTTCTGCGAGAGTGCCATGAGAACTCTCATTGCTTGGTTTCGCATTATAAACAAGGAGAACTAAGTTCAGGGGAGGCAACAACAGACATCCGACCAAACAAAAGGCTCCTTAAATATCCTCAGTCTCCTTCCTAATATTTTCCAGTAGGGGGAACTAAAGACTCGCTTAGCAGAGGCTCGCTCTGCTCAGGGACCCGCGTGAGTTTCTGCCAGAAGCTTTACAGTCCACCTGAACAAGCTTCAAACAGCTACCAGCGAGGCTGTGATCACACGTGGGCTCGGCCACACCGGCCACGCCAGGGCACCTTAGAAAGTGGTTTCCGTCTGATTTAAAGTGGACTTCTCTAACTATCTCCAGCACCCAACAGAGTTTTTGTTTGGGATGTGCCGGTTTTATCCTGTTTGGGCTGAAATTCTGCTCTTGAGCCTCTGTTAGTCTAGTCGGGTTATCAGCATTCTTAAATCAGAGCCCACTTTCCAAATTTCCTTCTCGAGGTGCTAGGGAGGGCGAAAACCCTAGAAAACCACTTCTTCCAAGTGCTTTGATCTTGGACCTCCTCTGTTCCAAGAGTCTTCTGCAAGAACTCTTTTATCACAAAATCCCGAATTTACGCTCAGTGTTGGGAGGTCAGAAGGCAACCGAACAACATTAGCGGGATTCCAACCCTTCGCCTCTCTCCTCCTCCTGGGGATTCCGCTGCTAGCTGTAGATCTTGGCTAAAACAAGCCTTAAGAGGCTAGAGATCCCCCCCACACACACACACCGCTTATTTTTGAACGGTTCTCTTAAAACACATAGGAAGTATGTACACAAAACCTTTCTACTCCAATAGGTGCTTTATGTTTGACCCCCTCTCCTTTCTTGTCCTCCTTGTTGGCCAGCTTCTCCTTTCTACTAAATTAAAGTGTGTGTGTATGTGTATGTGTGTGTCGGTGTGTGATTTTAACGGGTAATGAGGCTGTGCCCGGGGTCCTGAAAGATCATCTTTTTCTAGAAAAGCTCTTGTGCAGCTCCAGCAGACGGAGCGATGAATAATTAGGAAGGGCTTCCATGAAATCACTCACCGAGAAAATTACCTGCCCATTAAACGGGCCGCATGAGGAGCAGGAGGCTGGAAGCCCACCTCACCCCTCCCGAGGAGGGAAGGAGGGGGACACCCGGGAGGCTCCTGGAACGGGAAAGAGTTGGTGGCTAATCATAGTCCTCTCTAGCCCGCAGCGTTTCCACATTGGTTCATTTCCGTCCCCCCTAAGACTCATCGCTTGCCCGATTACCCCAGCTTCGAGGACCCAGGGGCAGGCTGTCGCCCCTTGCACTGGAGGGTGACCCGGTGGAGGTGGATATCTGGGTGCACCCCTTATCCTCCACCCCTTATCAGGGGACCTACTCGGAGCAGCTCTTTCCTCCTCCTCTTTCCTATCCTGCCTCCTCGCTTTCCCTCCTCCAAGTCCTTCCAGCCCTAGGCAGCTGCTGGAGGAAGCGGACGCAGCGCAGCCTCCGCTGTCTAAGCCGCGGCTGCACGGGAAGGGGCTGGAGACAGGAGGGCTCCCGGAGGCTGGACCGAGCGCTAGCATCCTCAGGGCTCCCAAGTCCGGGACTCCCTAGTCTAGCAGCGCTCACCCACAGCAGCTGGACTCTAACTCGCTCCGGGGCGGCCCCTGGGGGTGGCCGCGGCCTCAGCCCAGCCCCTCCCTCTTCCCTTGCTCCCTCTCTTCGCCTCCCTCCTCGCTCCCTCACCACGTAGGAGTTCCCATTCTCCACCCCAGCCGTCCTGCTTTCCCCCCTTTCCTTCCTTTTAGAAACCAGAGACTCCGAGGGAGGCGACCAGGCTGCAGAGGAGAGGGCCGGCTCACAAAGTGCTGCTTTGACACATCCTTAGGATGGAAGTTAAGTGAAAGCAAAACAACCCAAACAAAACTCCGCGAAGTGGTGCTGCTACGGGGAAGGAGACCCGGGGGCTGAGAAAACCCCGTGGGCAGGCCAATGGTTGTTCGGCAGCGCGTTGGCAAGTTTGTGGAACACTTTCTAGGAATTAGGTCTTTTTTGTCCCCCGTCATCTTCTTGACTTCTGAAGAAAGAACTTGTGTTTGGATTGCAATGGAGTCTAAGGAGACAGGGCTAGACGCACGTGAATAGTCCCGCTGGCTGGGCTGAATTTGTGGGAAATTCGGAAGCCAGCCTGTGGAAAGCAAAGCAGCTCTGGAGTCCCTGGGGTTCATTCGGATGGCTACCAACCTGTCCCATGTCAGAACTCTTCGCCAACAGCTTCTGATGTTGCCATTTTGCTCCTCTTGACCTTAATTAATCTCTAGGAAAGTCTAAACTTCGGACCTACCTCTTTTTTTGATACTTATTTTTGTACTTCTGCTCTCTGGGATTGGTTTCTTAAACAATCGGGATCCTTTTTTTCATATGTCAAAATGAGTCCGCTGATGTTTACACTACTATTGCTCTTTGGATTTCTCTGCATTCAGATTGATGGTGAGTTAAAACCCCGTTTTTCTTTCTGAGGTTGTTGTGGCTTTTAAATAAAATGTCATTGTGGTTGGTAGTGTGATTTGGCCATGCCCAGGCTCTTCAGGGGGCAGAGGTGCCAAGTCTTTTGTTTCTAACCTGCTGTTAGTGGAACATAATATAGTCACCTATTGTTGTTACTGTAACTAATTAATTGAGGAGTTTTACAATAAGTGATAGATTCCCAGCTTAGAAGAGTAACCGTTAAAGACAATGTCTTAAAAGAACTTGGCATGATTGTGGCCACTCTCTATTTGGTATTCTCGTATCTAAACTTTGGTTTAGGCATTCAGCTGCAGAACTATAGTAACTGATAACTTCCAGGTGCATTCAGTGAGTAGGGATTTGATACTGGGCAGCTCAAGGTTCAAAGTGTGTCACCTGTGTGTCAGTGAATGCTATCCAGGCATGAAATCAGAAAGAAGGATTCAGATAAAGAGAGAAAACTGTCACAAGTGGGACTGGGCGAGGCTCCAGGAAGGAGGCAGTATCCTCTATGGGCTGGCTGCAAGCTGGGAGCCCTCAGCTAAGTCCCCAGTGGACAAACACAATGGGGACTTGGAACAGGTGCTGTAGGTGTCTCCTCCTTGGTTGAGCCACTCTGTCAAGCCGACAGATCTACCTCTGGCTCTCCTGCTTTTGTTCATAGTCAGTTTCCAGGGCTATGCTCACTGACTAGCTGGGTCTTGGGAGATTAGGACAAAATCCATCTGTACTGTTTGCATGAGAAAGATTAAGAATTGTGAACATACTATGGGTTTGTTCTTTGAAAGTCAAAAAAGAAAATGGTGTTGGCTTCTGGGACATTCATTTTTATATCAATGACAAATGTTCTTTATACAGTGTGTACTAAGCCACTCACCCCAATCCCAGGAACTGAACATGGAAATAATTTCCATTTTTAATTATTGTGCTTATAAAGACTCTGAAGTATATTAATTCAAATACTTAAGACATCCAGATACTATGTTGCTAGATAAACTTTCCTTCGAATTTATTACTTGGGACATTGTCTAGTATTGCCCATCTGCAGGAGCTAACTTTGTGTCTAGAAGCTACTTTCCAGAACCTAAGTACAGACTGAAAGGGAAGGCTAGCTATAAACACAAGGCAATGCAGATGAGTTCACCTACTGTCAAGTGGCTGTTTTCAGTTGTGGAATGGAATATATGCGTTCAACATCCCCCTCCGCCCCCGCTGGCAGTGATAGGGATCTGGGAGGGGTGTCTGTGTGCACATTTCTCTCTACTCTGCCTAGTAGTAGAAGCTTAGAATTTGATCACTATGAGTGACACTGTGGTAATTTCTATAATCATGTGTATAATCATTATTCGCGCATTATCATTTCTAACAGGTTTGCTTTGACCATACATGGATATCATCCTAATAAAAGGGTTTATATATTCCAAATATATTAGACTATTGTATTAAGACTTTACTATACCAATGTATTTATAAACTATGTATTCAACTGTAGAATTAGCACCATTTAAAAAGCAATCAAAGTCAGGAAGAATACACTTAAATTGCTTAGTAGAAGTGGCAGAAGGAATCTGAAAAGCCTGGTGTTACAGAATGTAGTTAATGTACCAAGGTGTTTGGAGATGTATGCAGCAAATGCAATTAACCCATGTGCTGGAACAGCAGTAAGGACACATTTTCTATCCTCCTTTTTTTTTCTTCCCACTTCACGCACTCTGCCCCCCTTTTGTCTGTTTTATCCTTCTCTCTTTTCTTTCCATCTTTCTCCTGCATGCCCTCCCCCTCATCTTCTTTCTCCTCCTCCTCCTAATTTTACTTCTCTGAAGATATGTTTAGAACCTTTGTTCTGATCTCCCATTGTAAAATAAGGAGGCAGTTTTTTTTGTCTGGACCATCTGCAAGAGAGTTCATGGTAATAAAATGAGAAATGCCTACAGGTAAAAGACTTAAGGCTGAGAGGCAATGTTCAATGTCATATATGTAAAACGTGCTGGGTTGGGGATCAAAAGCAATTATAGACACACTTACTGAGTTCACACGTAACCATATATTTGACATTGGCTTGTCTTTGGATACTTCAGAATGATGACAGCTCTTCCATGTGGATTGTTGAAAATTTGGGATGTGGACAATACTGCCATCTAGGCTGTTTCAATACTGTGGACCCTGCATTCACATATCCAATGAGGAGACTGGTGTACAGCACCTCCAAGCGCTCTGCCTTTCTGGATTCTGTGATATTTATTTACTTTTTGTCCTTCTTGGTGCTGCGGGCTTATTTTCCACATGAATTTCAAATTTAGAGAAGCTTGTACCATTCCAAAGATATACTGACTATCCTTGTGCTCAACATAGAAATTAATTTTATTCGGTGACAAATGATACATAGATTTGCATTAAAATTTGCTTGGTGGGTTATTTATATGTGCATTTTTATAGTGCTTGAAAAAATGTTAGAGTTTTGCCTCCTCATAGAAAATATGTGCTAATATTATTTATGAGTTTTCAGATTCTTTTCCCTATAACAAGCCATAAAAATAAATATTTTAAGTTAGTTGAAAACTGCAGATGAACTTTTTAAAAAAATCTCTGATGTGAAAGTATTTTTTATTTGAAACAGATTAATAGCCATATGGAGGTTTTGCTCCCAGTGATATGGAATGTGTAATGAGTTTAGCCTTTGTTTAGTAGATTCTGTTTTGAAATAATAGTGGTTTTTAACTCCGTGATAGGGATAAAATTAGAATGACTATAAGACTTTAAATTATAATCCCATTCCATATATTAATTTCATATTTTCGAATCTTCTGAATGGCGTTTTCACAATGATAATGGTTTTCTCTTCTTTTCTCCTTCCCTATTCTTAAATGACATGGCATACATTGTATTTGGGGAGATAAAGATAATGTGTGTGTGCAGGGCAGATGCATAATCTCGCATAGGTTTATACACTTTGCCAAAGTGCTTCTTTCAGTAACGGGCTCATTATCGTAGCCATATGTAGCCCATTTCAGAACTTGAATTGCACATGAGTAACCTGAAATTTGCTCTTGTAGCTAAGCAGTAATATCACATTTGAATTCGCTTTGTTTGAATAACCTTTGATGCTATGCAACATGTGGACCATAAACCAAAAGGATTACTTAGAACATTAAACAAGAAAATCTTCAAGTAAAAGTCATGATTATACACACAAAAACCCCAGCTCTTGTCATTTTACTCCTGGGCAGCTTGTAAAAAATAGCATCTTTGACAGTAAAAATATAGATAAGTATGGAAATGGCTTAAATATGGATACATATACAGGGGTAGATGGGCTTCTCACTGTCTTCCTCCCTCTGTATTTTCCCCTCTAGGGGGTACATATGGGTATGTATGTATGTATTTAGGAAAATATAATTTTGAAGTGCATGAAGTAAGAGATGAATTTACTTTCCATGAGCAATTTGGTTTCTGAACATTATATGAATGTGGGGGCAGTTCATCTTACGTTCTTTCTTATTTTTCTTTACTGCTGCTTTCTTCTCATTCCTCTTCTCCTCCTTCCTTTCTTCCTTCTTTCCTTCTTTTTTATTCTTTTTTCTATATATTTCTGACAATGCAATGGAATTAGAGACATCTGAAGAGAGACGATTGTTCACAGTCTTTATGAAATGATAATTAATAAAATCTGTATCTAAGGGTGTAAATTAATATTTGTGGGTCTTAAATATATTTACCTTTGGTTTACCCATTCTCACTTTTCTTTAAGTAAACTATATAATTTTAAATAAACTTGCTATGTATATATACTATATTTCTCAAAACCAGAGAAACTTAAGTTCAAGACCCAAGTTCAAGCAGAAATGGAATCTTATAAAATAAAATTTTATAGAATTAATTTTAAGTAATACAATTGTCATGTCTTCTGTAGTTTCTCCAGGTACAGACCTGTCAATTTCAATCAATATATGACATATATTAATTTTCTTCTCAAAGAAATATTGAATGAAGTATAACTGAATGATTATAATCTTTTGAGGAAAAAGTTTACACAATTCTTTGTTGAGTCTTTTAGCATGGTGCTATACCAAGATGTATATGTAAAACTGTTTGTGGCATGCATGTACCATACCCACTCCTACTACCTATCTATAATTTAGAATAGTGCTGAAGTCACTAGGCCTCAGTTATTTTTGTTTCCTTCTTCATTTCAGCCACTCCTTATAATATTTCATCTTATACATATTTAGGCTCTAAAAGTGCCTTTAAAATTGCCTAATCATTTCATAGAAGAGTTGGAGATCTTGAGAATTCATCTTTGTGTGTCTATAGTAAACATATCTTCAGTGCCTGGAGCAATGCTTGCCAGGTCCCTCTGGCTATGTGACATCTTGGTTTAACAACTACTGACACTATGGAAAACTCAAGCCCAAGATAAAACATGTTCATCTTGTAATTGTTTCCATCTAAGTAAATGGTGTCATTATTTACATTTTTCATGATCCAAAACAGTGAGCCATTTTTGACGTAATCTCTTAGCTCACATCTAGCTCCTTATAAAACAATGAAACTTAGCCTAATTTTGTGATTTTTCCCAATATCTTATGAATAATTTTAGATACACACTAAATTGAAAATAATTTTCAATGAATATCAAATTATACCCAGATTCTGTAATTATTCATTCTGCTTTATTAATACATACCTACTAATTTATTACTTTTGTTAAGTATCACTTCACCTTTCCCTTCCTAGATCTCCATACCTCAGCCAAGGGGATCTTTAGAACACGTGTGGATGATATGTATACTTGCCTCTAGCTCTTTGCTCATGGCTTCCACCAGGCCTGTCCCAAGGATATAAGGAAACTGAGTTTTGACTGTCTTCTACCTGTTTGCCTCCAATGGGTCAGATTATCTATCTAGAATACCGATTCCGAACTTTAGGTGAAGTCTATTAGCTTACTTGAGGCCTTTGTATTTGATCTTTCCTCTGAAGAAAAT